AATACCGAAACGTCGTACTTATCAATGAAATACAACAGATACAAAATACCCGAAATGTTGTACTTATCACTGAAATATAACAGATATGAAACACCGAAACGACGTACTTATCACTGAAATACTGGAACGGAAGAAGTAATGCAGAACATGACTTAGTGTCAAAAGAAAAAGAAAAAACTCTTCGTTGAATTTAGAAAAATCCTTGCACAATACGAAACAGTGCCGAATTCGTAGTTCAATACTTGTGATGATTCGTAAACGTAGCTGTATATAAAACGCACAATCTTTCACGGTTTTCTCTTTTAAATAGAATAAAATACAAAAGCTCGTTCATCGTAAACAAATATTTTTATTTAAGGCTAAATTGAAAAAAATAAAATTAGATTCAATCGTCCCGTGTGTCAGCACCTATTATAAATATACGCCTACTTCATTAACAAAGAAAACGACAGGGCAGCAGAGGGAAGGTGGGGCGTGGTAAGTCCTCTTCCTGAAAGTACATATAGGTTAGGTTGCTAACGAACAATAAAAGGAAGATAAATAATATGCATGAAGAGCACGAACAAATCGAGTCACGTACTTCGAGAAAAAGGCAGATAAATAACTAGCCTTAGGCTGTTTTATTGGCTTCTTTAAAAACGATTGTGTATGCTATAGATTATTATTTTTTCTCCTTTATTATCAACGTCTTTTCTATTCCATGCAGCAAGTCTTGTAACCCCTGCAGCACTAACAGGAAATGAAGCAAGAACAATTAATTGTACCTCACGAATAAAATAATAGTTGGTAACGACCAACAACTAATAAACAATGGAAACTTTGGTTAAACATTAAGTATACGGTGTTTACAGTTTGCTACAGTTAAGCCTAACAAGGGCTAACGTTAATGATATAAAGCAAACACGCGAGTTCAATTAATTAGATAATACACGTCCAAAGAAACTTGTCGAGCGCTTACGGAAAGTTGATTTTTCTCGTCTGTCACTTTCCTAAAGCACTCGGGTTTTATTAACTGTGGGTCTAAACTTTATTACCCACGTGACGTTAACATAAAAATAGTTTTTACATTAATAATTTTGCCGTTTATAATAGTCAATAACATTACATAATATAGGCCATAACCAATCCTTATGAACCAAAGATTTGATAAATTTGAAGCAATAAATCACTCCGAACAGGAATCTCCCTCGATGTCGGTTAGATGAAAATTGTAGTGTGCAAGGATGTATGTTACCCAGGGGTTAGGAAACATTTATGACGAGGAAGTGTTAGTTATGAGTAAAAACGTTCTGTCGAACCACCAGAAGACGACATGGCACTGAAAGTACCTCCCCCCTCCGGAAATATAGCTCCTTAGATTTCCACAAAAACCATTACAAAAAATAATATTGGGAAGGGGAATCATTAACACATCATTAATTTGAGAGAGATTTCCTTACCTTCTATTCATTGTACTCACTTTTGGGTGAGATTTCCTTATTTTCCATTCATTGTAACTCACTTTAGGATAAGATTTCCTTATCTTCCATTCATTGTACTCACTTTAGGATAAGATTTCCTTATCTTCCATTCATTTACTCACTTTTGGGTGAGATTTCCTTATCTTCCATTCATTGTACTCACTTTTGGGTGAGATTTCCTTATTTTCCATTCATTTTACGTACGTTTGGTAGAGATTTCCTTATTGTACCCACTCAATAAAATGTAACTTGATGTGTAATAACTAAAAGTGTTTACGCTCTTTGCAAGAACTCACTCAATTATCTAATACTAGATGTTTAAGTTGGGGGAAACGGTAGTGGATTCCTAGGTAGGGATGTCACAGAAAAAATGGCTGCCAATACATAGCCTATGGGAACGGCAACGCTAAAAGACGTGCAAACAAGCTATGGCTGAAAAGTGCTTGACCATTCATACACAAAACTGCTCGTAAAGTTTCACCAACTTTTATAAGTAGCGAGAAAACTAAGGTTGAAATTCGCCCGCTTGATCTTTTTCTCCTCACCCTGTAACTTAAAAACGAAGCAAGTTCTTCACGACATTTTTTTTAATTGCTATAACAACGAGTAGCTAGCGCAGCGCCACCTAAAAAGTACACAAACACATAAATAATTAAAAATAATTATTATTTTTAATTAGCTGTAGGGATGACTGATGCAAAAAGAACAGAAACAAGAAAGAGATTCTAATATTATAGTTTCAGAATCCAGGGAAGGGTGGAGAGTGAAGGAGTGAAGAAGGAATGCTAATGTTTATGTTAGTGGAGTGAAGGAGTAACATTCCTTTCTTGTTTATGTTAGGGTGGAGTGAAGGAGGGAAGAAGGAATGCTAATGTTTATGTTATTTTTGCACCAGTCATCTCTACATATAATTAAAAAAAATATTTTTGTTTAATTTATTTGTAATTCTATAAAGTTCTTTGATTATTTGACCTCCCACCACTCCCAAAATGAGAAATTCTAGTTAGGCCAGGCCACTAGAAACATGGGTCAACATTTCATTAATCCGAGCAGTAGAATAACGAGACAAATTCACACTATTTCTTTCTTCTTTTACAGAAATTCAAACAATCTCAATATTGTGTTTGTGTCTTGGCCAATTGCATAGTTTGACACAGAATGACCACAAAATAGACCAATAATAATTTCTGGTAGAAGTGACCGGAAACCACAACCTACAAAAATAACTGACGTTATCTAGCAAACTACAAACTTGGACCAATGAACAAAAACTGACATCAAATTAAAAGGATCGAAGCTCAACAACATCGAGGAATGAAAGTTTCTTAAAAAGCGTGTGTGATTTTTCGTTGAAACAAAGGTTTTACGAGCATGTAGTATGGGTTGCTTATACAAGAGTATGACGAAAAATGATTACTCTTACCTCACTCTAGTAACGTGGCAAGTTTATTAACAATATCTAAATTAGACTTATGTAACAAAATTATTTCACGTTGTTCTCCTTACTAATCGTTAATGTTGGTATTCTACATGCTCGATATTAGCAGCATCCAACTGTTAACAGGGAGTAACGGAAATCAGATGATAACAATCAATAATCGAAGTCAGTTGAGAGTGAGTAATGGAAGTCAGTTAGTTTTACTAATGGAAATCAGCTGATAACAATCAGTAATTAAAGTCAGTTAAGAGTGAGTAATGGAAATCAGCTGATAATAATCAGTAATGGAAGTCAGTTAAGAGTGAGTAACGGAAATCAGCTGATAATAATCAGTAATGGAAGTCAGTTAAGAGTGAGTAACGGAAGTCAGCTGATAATAATCAGTAATGGAAGTCAGTTAAGAGTGAGTAACGGAAGTCAGCTGATAATAATCAGTAATGGAAGTCATTTAAAGTGAGTAACGGAAATCAGCTGATAAAAATCAGTAACGGAAGTCAGTTAAAAGTGAGTAACGGAAATCAGCTTATAACAATTAGAAATTAAAGTCAGTTAAAAGTGAGTAACGGAAATCTGCTTATAACAATCAGTAATCGGAAGTCAGTTAAAAGTGAGTAACAGAAATCAGCTCACAACAATCAGTAATGGAAGTCAGTTGAGAGTGATAACGGAAATCAGCTGATAATCAGTAATGGAAGTCAGTTAAGGGTGAGTAACGGAAATCAGCTGATAACAATCAGTAACAGAAGTGAGTTAAAAAGTGAGTAACGGAAATCAGCTGATAACAATCAATAACGGAAGTGAGTTAAAAAGTGAGTAACGGAAATCAGCTGACAAGAATCAGTAATGGAAGTCAGTTAAGGGTGAGCAACGAAAATTAACTGATAACAATCAATAACGGAAGTGAGTTAAAAAGTGAGTAACGGAAATCAACTGACAAGAATCAGTAATGGAAGTCAGTTAAAGAGTGAGTAACGGAAATCAGTTGATAACAATCAGTAATGGAAGTCAGTTAAAAGTGAGTAACGGAAATCAGCTGACAAGAATCAGTAATGGAAGTGAGTTAAAAAGTGAGTAACGGAAATCAACTGACAAGAATCAGTAATAGAAGTCAGTTAAGAGTGAGTAACGGAAATCAGCTGACAAGAATCAGTAATGGAAGTCAGTTAAGAGTGAGTAACGGAAATCAGCTGACAACAATCAGTAATGGAAGTCAGTTATGGGTGAGTAACGGAAATCAGCTGATAGCAATCAGTAACGGAAGCGAGTTAAAAGTGAGTAACGGAAATCTGCTGATAACAGTCAGTAACGGAAGTGAGTTAAGAGTGAGTAACGGAAATCAACTGACAAGAATCAGTAATGGAAGTCAGTTAAGAGTGAGTAACGGAAATCAGCTGACAAGAATCAGTAATGGAAGTCAGTTAAGAGTGAGTAACGGAAATCAACTGACAACAATCTGTAATGAAAGTCAGTTAAAAGTGAGTAACGGAAATCAGCTGATAATCAGTAACGGAAGCAGTTAACAGTGAGTAGTGGAAATCAGCTGATAATCAGTAACGGAAGCAGTTAACAGTGAGTAACGGAAATCAGCTGATAATCAGTAACGGAATCAGTTAAAAGTGAGTAACGGAAATCAGCTGATAATCAGTAACGGAAGTCAGCTGACAACAATCAGTAATGGAAGTCAGTTAAAGAGTAAGTAACGGAAATCGGGTAATTGTTAAGAACGAATTATGGAAATTAGCTAACTCTTAATAGTGAGTAATGTAAACAACTTAACTGTTATCAAACTGTTACTAGTTTGCTCCTGACGAAGAAAGGTTGAAAGTGCCCGGGTTACAGGGTTTCCATCTTTGTGCGAAAATGAGTTCTTGAACCTGTGTGTTTTTCTAGGATCATGAATGTTATCAACGAGCAACAGGATAATCTGATAACAATGAGCAACAGGAATAAGCTGGTAACAATGGACAATGTAAATCAGTTCATAACAATGAAAATAACCTAATAACAATGAATAACTAACAACAATGATTAATGAAGTTCAGCTAATTGTTAACAATAATTAATGGCAATTGTACACAAACAGGAGTTATCAAGAACCTTACCTCGGATGCGTTCGTCTCCATAAATCCGTTTGGTTTGTTTCCACGTGCTGGGGAAAAGTTGATTTCATTATTTAAATTAATTGAAAAACATTACTTCATCACGAAAATAAAACAATATAATCAAACACATATAAAACGAACTTCCAATACTGACGAAACATAAAATCTTCCAACACAATGGTATATAGATTTTCACACTAAAAGCTATTTTAAAACCATCATTTTTTATTTATTTTTTAATTACGAAAACTAAAATTTGGCTGGATGTTCTACTTTTCATAAGAGCTACTGAATGGTATCCTAGATCTATGGAATATTATTTTTATTGTCGTGATTTATTCCCGATTCAAATTGCTTTTTTTTGTTTGTTTGTTTTCGGATATAAGGACAAGGCTACACAAGGGCTATCTGCGCTGAACTGATAAGACTAGAAGGAAGGCAGCTAGTTAACGCTTGTCACCGCAAAGGCTTGGGCTACTCTGATCAAATAGTAGGATTTCATTGCTACATTCATAACGCTCTTACTGGCCCAGAGTGTGCAACGCGATTTTACGGCATCGGGACGCGAACTGTGAATCATGAGATTCCTAGTCCAGAATGCTAATACAAGCCTTCCGCCCCTTCCTCCGGTTTTATGAAACACATGTCAGAGGTAATAGAATCGCTATATAATTGCAAGATAAAAACGTACAAAAATTACTCACTGTGAACATTACAAAATGTTCTTATATGTTAACAATACCCCAAAATGTTATTATACGTTAACAATACCCCTGATGGTAAAGCAAGCACATTAGATGGCTCATGCGTCCTTTACCAAATAACGAAAATACAGAAACACTATCCTTGACTGCACGTAAACAGTCTTCCGCACAATGTGTTATAAGGTGACAGGAACAACTGACAATACTGATGATGGCTACAATGTGTTATAAGGTGGCAGGAACAACTATACTGATGATGGCCACAATGTGTTATAAGGTGACAGGAACAACTAACAATACTAATGATGGCTACAATGTGTTATAAGGTGGCAGGAACAACTGACAATACTGATGATGATTACAATGTGTTATAAGGTGACAGGAACAACTAACAATACTAATGATGGCCACAATGGGTTATAATGTGACAGGAACAACTGACAATACTATTAAAAACCCTAGGCTTTCTGTATTCTATCTACTTCCTAAGATACATAAGCCAGACTATCCTTGCAGACCCATATTTTCAACACTCATCTGTCCTACTGAATTAATCTCCAAGTTACCTTGATTCCATCCTAACCTCCTTCATTCATCAAATCCCTACTTATAGTCAAGACCTCAATGATGTCTTACAAAATATTGCTAATTTTATGTCAAAATCAGATATTATTTTATTCACAGTCGACATAAAACCATTGTATACCTTCATTCCGCATGAAGATGGACTCAAGGCCCAAAAACTCTATTTCGCCAGAAGACATACCCTAAACTCTCTTACTGAAACCCTGATTAGATTAGCTGAACTAATTTTATCGTTAAATGTCTTTTCTTTTGACAACAATTCTATAAACAAGTGAAGGGTGTAGCCATGGGAACCAAAATTAGTCCCTCCTATGCTAAGCTCTTTGTTGGTTACATTGAAGATTGTATATTACATAACTACACAGGTACCCTCCCTGCCTTATATTATAGATATATTGATAATGTTTTTGGTACAGCTACATACACTAATGATGACCTCAATCTTTTTGTTCAGTTTGTTCAATCCTTTCACCCATCACTCCAAACCATTTCATTTCTTTAAGTATTTCCTTCACTGATGGTGGCAATCTTCCAACGTCTGTACATTACAAACATAGCTACTTAAATTTTCACTTGAGTCATTCTCGATACGTCAAGAGAAACATTCCCAAATTACATCTCCACAGTAACAACCAAGATTATAATAGCAAATCTATCAACAGGTTCCACTTTTTTGAAAAACGTGGCTACCCAGTATCATCACACTAAAGATAATCTACATACTAACAATAAACCTACAAATTCAGCTTTCCAGAACTTCTTAAATCATATCAGTAATTATAATACCAACACCGTAGACAATTCTAAACTTCTAATGACGAGCATTCAACCTCGTTTCAACCAACACACTCCTACTTCCACTGATCATCAACACATTCCCCTTAAACTTTATGTTTCACCCATTCAACACACAAATAACACGTATATTGTTTGACAGCTTCCATATCATAACACAGGGCAATAACCATTGGTCACATGTTCTCTAACAAACCTGTAATTTCTTATAAATGAAACAGTAGCATTAAAGATTTACTCGTCCATAGTCAACTTCCAATCAACTATCTGCTACTCAGGTTGGAACATACAAATATCAGAGGAGCAAATGCAACACTTGCCCTTACATTGATCATAGAACATCTGTTAGAGGCCCTAAATCAACGTATTCTATGAAGAGCCATTTCACCTGTAGATCTAAATGTATAATTTATTGTATTACTTGTAACAACTATGTAGGAGAAACCAGCTGAATGTACACGAGAACACTTACATAGCATCTTGATTAAAGATCAAGATAAACCTGTAGCTCGGCACTTGAACAAAGCTGATCATTCTCTTGAGCATTTTAAAGTACTTGCCCTACGTCATTACCCCTCCAACACTAATCAAAGAACCACAATCGAAAAGAAATAATTTTTAAATTGAGCTGTCCCTTGGGTAATAATGAATGGTTCAGTATTTTATCATTTTTTTTGAATATCCTTTTTATATTACCTTAAAATGTTTAAGTTCTTTCTTTTTTTTGGTCAATTATCTATATAAATATAATAATACTATCTATTGTATGTCCATGTAACTACTTCACAGTGTGTGGATAGATCTTTATTCAAATTGGTATGGAGGTTCATTTGGTCCATGCGGGGGTATATACAAAGTTGTGGTTTCACATTTTGTGTTTTGCAGTTTTTGTGAGCATTTTTTAAAATTACATATAAGGGAAGCAACTTTTCATGTCTTAAGATAACCTTTTATTAACCATGAATTTAGATATCTTCCATCAGGAGGACAGGTACTCCAGCTAGTTTCTGATTAATTTTTAATACTATTTTTTATTCACCAGCTTTATTATATTGTTTGTACTATATTATCCAATTCTGATAGTTCTATCTCACACTATATTCTGTTTTTGTGTAATGTTTCATTTCAAAATGTTCCTGTAATCGTCATTAACCAATAGGATTGTTTTTCTGGCTTGAAAAAGTGAGTTTGCTCGAAACATTGCAAAGTAAATAAACTACTACCATAGTTTTTAAAAGGTGATTTTTTTTCTCTAAAAGTCTAATTTCTTATATATATATAACAGGATTTCTTCACAAGCTAAGTAAGAGAATGACACTGTAAAGTACAGACTGAAAGAAACAGGTCTGTAATTGTTAAAAACCTTCATAGTTCTACTTTTAATACAAAGGGGAGGAAGGAATGCAGAGCTATACGATAAAATGCTTTTTATTCTATTTTAATAAATGTTGTTAATAGACAACTATTTGTTGGCAATCAACAATTATTATTTAAAATGGACCAAGTGAAAGCATTGTAGCTATAACCAAGCTTCAATTTTTAAAACTTTTTACTAGCAACAACTCAGAAACGATATTTTGACAGTGTAACCTGTTGTAAACTTTTAATTGCAGGCTCACACGAAGCTACAAAACAAACTTGGATACGAGGAACACGAGAGGGCTTTCAAACATTTACCTTACGTATAACAATGTGCATGCAAAAGGCAACTTTGAAACAATAACTCTGTTTGTTGAATTTCACACAAAGCTACTCGAAGGCTATCTGCATTAGTCGTCTCTAATTTAGAAGTTACAGACTAAAGGGAAAGCAGCTAATCAATACCACCCACTGCCACCTCTTGGCTGCTTGTTTACTAGTGAAAAGTGGGATTATCCATCACATTATAGTCGTCTCTAATTTAGAAGTTACAGACTAAAGGGGAAAGCAGCTAATCAATACCACCCACTGCCACCTCTTGGCTGCTCGTTTACTAGTGAAAAGTGGGATTATCCATCACATTATAATGCCCGCACAGCTGAAATAACGAGTATGTTTGGTGAGAGAATTCGAACCTGCAGGTCGAGCACCCTAAGTAATAAGCTATGCCAGGACCATTTCTTCAACTGAAGAATGCAGTTGCAATAGGGCTTCAGGAGATTGGTAGGGTAATGTTATGTTATCTGATAGTGGTACCCTCTAGTCATTCCCGAAAATCATTGGATTCCAAACCTCCATGATCCTTTAATTAAGTTTCGCCATTAAGTTATACAGTTCGTCCAACAGGCTGTTCCAACTACCCACAACAACCATGTGTCACACAAAAGAAACTGATAAAGAAATGACTGAAGGACTAATTCCATGAATTTGTGAACACTATCGTTTATGTGTAGTTCCTACCTCCTACAAAACAGGAACAAGGATGTTTATGTGTAGCACCTACCTCCTACAGAACAGGAACAAGGATTTATATGAAACGTCTGTGTGTAAAAGGGAGAAAAAAATCACGGCTAACAAGTGAAAATTAAAAAAAAAAATTATTGTTAAGTAAAATTGGTGCATCCTAGCCTTGAACATTCTTAACATTGTAAGATTGGCACATTGAAATAAACCTAAAAGTAAAAAACTAACTTCTAACTATCAATGAAAACTAAGAAAAATTAAATCTATCAACATAAGAAAATTAGACTTCAGTTACATAGACTGTCCACCATCCCTACTGTTGTTTTTTGCACAAAGATACACAATGGACTATTTGAGGGATAGGAATCAAACCCTGGATTTTGGCATTACAAGTCAGTAAATATACTGCTAACTCCGAGGTACTTTTCCGTCATGTATCTATGAAAATTATTAATATAGTGAATGTCAAATTTGTAACGGCATCATATAAACCATTAGTAAATGTTTATTAAAGTGCCCAACTATAACAACCACAAGTTAATTAATCCATACAACTAGAATATATTCATAACTGCAAGTTTCATTCCAAAGCTTATTAAAATATTCACTTGTGAAAATACCTAAGCATGTAGTAAACCTTATTTTTTTGTACATAAATATGCCTTATCATATTCGTTTCCTTGTTATTCATACAAAACATATAA